TTTTAATTTCTATAATTTTTATTCTCTTAGAAGTTTTCTAGTCTTTCTTCAATTTTTCTTATTTAAAAACTTTCATTTATATCTGTTCTCTTTTTCATGACTTGAAATTTACTCTTCACTTATTTTCTTTGTTTGAGTTTGGTCAGTTTTTGTTGCATGTGCTTTTCTGTTTTTTTTTTTTTTTTTTTTTGAGGTGGTAGGGTTTTGTATGGTTTGGTTTGTTTTTCAGTGTAAAGAATCAAACCAGAGCAAGTGCCCTGTGGTGGGTTTTTTGGGTCCACTGTTTAGTTTTTAAAATTTCCGATTCCAGATTCCAGTCATATGTATGTTTGTGTTTATGTGCATGTGTATATCTCCAAATGCTTGTTGAGGGCATTTAATTCAATTTCAAGTGTTGTCTTACAGTTTTGTTTTTCACAGTTAGCTATTTCATGAGGACTTTTATTAGCTGAGGTGGTTTTTTAAAAATATTTTTTAGTTGTAGATGGACATAATACCTTTATTTTATTTATTTATTTTTATGTGGTGGTGAGAATCGAAGCGCATGGCCTCACATGTACTAGGCAAGCACTCTGCCACTGAGCTACAGCCCCAGGCTTAGCTGAGGTGTTTGCATTTCTATTTTCTTGTTTTCCTCTTACAGGGGGTTTATATTTAGTTTTTAAAATTTTTTATTTGTTCTTCTTAGATAGACATGACAGTATATTTTGACACATTATACATATGTGTAATATAACTCCCATTCTGTGGTTGTACATGGTGTGGAGTTACACTGCTCATGTATTCATACATGAACAGAGGAGTTCGATTCATTCTACTGTCTCCTACAGGGTTTTATGTGAAGTTTAATTTTTCCCCTATTCTTTAGCATTTCATGGACTGTGGTGCTATTTCAAGAACACTCTTGGGACTGGGATTGTGGCTCCTTGGTACAGCGCTTGCCTAGCACGAGTGAGGCTCTGGACTTGATCCTCAGCACAACATAAAAAGAAATAAATAAAAGCATTGTGTCCATCTACAACGAAAAAAAAAATTTAAAAAAGAACATTTTTTTTCCTGTCAGTTTGTAACATACATAATTTTTTTTGAATGGATGATGGTGTGGTGGGAGGGGGAAGGTAAAAGGCTAGGATTAACCTGTCCTGTACTTTACATTTTTCATGTCTATTGAATCTTCACCTCTCCCTCTTCCTTCTTTCCTTTCACTGGTGTCCCTGAAGAACAAATTTATTAGACTCACATGGAGATGACATTTTTTAATTGCTACCACTTTGGATTTTGTTTTGAGACCCTTTTGAGACCCTTCCCTATGGCCAGTGCTGTGAACCACCAAATACTGACATATTCATATTCTGGCATTTAATGTACTTTTTTTTCTTAGAGTGATTTGTCTAGTTTTGTGTATGTCCTAAGCTCTTTTTTTTTTTTCCTTCTAGAGTCTTCCCTCACTCTACATCCAAAGGTTCATAGTAATTAATTTTTGACTTTTAATTTTTTAATTTATAAGAAATTGGAAGTTTGTTATATTTTCTGACTTCTAGTCATGCCGATAGTTTGGGTCCTGTGGCTTAGTCTGTGCTTCTTAATCATCTTAATGATGACCTTAAAGATTTTGAAAGAAGCCAGGTGTGGTGGTTCATGCCTGTACTACCAGAGGCTCATGAGGCTGAGGCAGGAGGATGGCAAATTCAAGCCAGCCTCAGCAACTTAGCAAGCACTTGTCTCAAGATAAAAAATAAAAAGGGCTGGGAGTGTTTTTCAGTGGTTAAGCACCCTTGGGTTCAATCCCAAGTGTCCCCCCCCCCCACAAAAAATTCTTTTTAAAGGAGAATGTATGAACAAATTCAGATTCAAATGACTGTTATCATCCTTCATACTCAGAATTATGAGTATCCTTCATACTCTTGAAAGTAATACTTTATTGACCAAACATATCATGTAACTCCTAATAAACTGTGTCATAATGGGATACTTGGGGGTAAATTGGAAATATAATAAAATTATCACTTACATCATAGATTTATTGTAACCAAGACTATAAAAATTCTCTGACTTAAGTTATAGTTCTCAATAATGATCTTTAAATAAGTGAAATAGAGGGACAGACATAGAAATCATGATTCAACACTGGAAAAAATAATTATTGTGTCAAATAGAACATTAGAGCTAAAAAAAAGTTAGAGAAAGTCTAATTTAACCTAATATAACATTTTATAGACAAGGTTAAGAAGGATGAAGCAATTTTCCCAAGGCTACTCTGGAAGTTATGCTAGGGGCAGACCTGGAAACAAATTCTCATGGCTACCTGTCTCTAATACCTCTTCCCTTAAATGGCCCTAACTCTTGTTCAATTCTTCATGGGTTAGTATCATCATAATATTTTTCCTGTTCAAAGAAACTAAATCACTTGCCTAAGAGCTTGAATGTAGTAAATGGCATCAGTAGACTTGAGGCCGACTGGGACTCTTCTTACGTAGCATTCATTCTTTACTCTGCACTCTCTGTGTATATATTGGCTGTCTTCCCCTCTTTTCTCCAACATTTAATGAACACCTGAAATGTTTCAGTCCAAATAATGGGGTTAAAGAGTTTTCAACAAGTTTACACCTAGTACAGTTCATTTTAAAGGGATAAATGTGGATCAGAATTTTGATGGTGTGTCCTGGTGCAAGTTCACAATTTTCCTAAAAAAAGAATTGACTGCTAGGCTTTTCCCCTGTAGCTTCAAAGCAATGTGAGGTCTTACCTAACGGAACCACCCAACTTTTGCCTGCTTGAATATCTCAGGGCAGTGTACTTCCTGTAGTTTCTGGGCTATTGACAAGAGGCTTATCCTTCAAATTCTCCTTTGGGTACTCTTGAAATGTGTACCTCATGTATGCCAAGGTTGCCTTATGTTGAATTTTCTTTGTGAGTGAAGGACAGAATGTTCTTCTTTGCTGCGCCAATAGCACTTTCCCATATACACTCAGGGAAAGCTTTTTCCCCTCTCAAAAGGGCTCAAAAGTCTTGACTAGAGTGCTTCAGAAATAGGCCTGGTTTATACTTTTATAAAAACAAGCAGAGCCTGGACAACTCCTTGCTTGGAATAGCTCTGAAGGTTGAGTTTCTCTGAGGTAAGCAGATGAGTGGAGTAACCAAAGGACATATGTATAGCATTTGGATCCCCACTTAGTGAGGCCAGAGTGCCATCTCTTGCTTCTGTGAAAGTGAAGGTGGCATCTTGCAGAAAGAGGCTGGTTTTCACTGGGAAAAAAGGCTGATAGTATGTGGAAGGTGTGATACAGGGAACTAAAACTCAAGAAGCTTCAATTAAAAATGGTAATGAGGAAATATTTAACCTGGAATTTGTATAGCATTCTGTCCTGAGCATGCTATATTCATTAGTATGCTTTGGAGTATTCCAAGAAGAACCTATGTATCTCATGTTTCTAGCCCTAAGAGCTCTCAGCTGAGTTGCCTGTTCTCATTGAGGTGGGAAGAGTCAGGGGTCTTCCTTTTGCTCAGAATAGGCCTAATAGGAAGTGAAGAGTTTGCCTTATACTTCAAAGACCTCATCATACTGAAACTTGTTCAATTAGCATGTAATGCGGGCAGAACCGTGTAGCCTATGGCTTTTCCCTCTCCCCACGCAATGCCACATACATCCATACCTCTTTCTTCCAGGTTAAGAAAATGTATAATGGACTTATATTTTGGTTCCAGGAACTATAAAGCTTTCAGCCCCATAACTATATGTCTCTTTAATATTGGATCCTGTTTTCCTCTCCTCTTTCTTTAACAGTGCTTTATCTCAAGTGTAAAATTGAGGTTTGGAGTGTAGGCTTTGAGACCAGCTAGACCAGGGGGTGGCTGTGGCATCTTATTAAAATTCTCAGAGATGTAGTTTCCTCATCTACTAAATAGAGCTAATTAATAGCTCTATTAGAGTGGTTAGGAGGATTAAATGGTGTGATGCATATGGAATGATCAGCATATTACCAGGCACAGTAAGCTCTCAATAAATGGCATCTATTATTATCACAGCTGGAGAGCTCTAAGTCGTGCCTAGAATCGTGTTTGGCATTAGAAAACCAAACATTGAAAGGAATTATATTACCAATTTTATTGGTTCACGAAGGCCTTCAAATGGAGCATACTTCCTAGGGAGATCTGGAGGGCATTTTACCTTTTCTTTGAACACCTCCAGATAATTTAGTAGTAGGTGGGCTGTATATTCTCAATAAGGACAATGGAACCCATAGGTTGTTTTCTTATTTTGATGATCCTTAGGTATTGGAGTTTCACTTTAGAAAGAAACATATCCTAGTGAATAAACCCAGTTTATATGGGACAAGATTTTTCAAAAGTTATATTGTAATTAAATTAGGTAAGCATTAACTGCTCTACCATGTACCCAGCAAAGTATTCAGAGTAAATAGTCTAGTATGAAGACTAAGATTCAGCACGTTGGTGCTTTGAACTTTAATTTTGTTTTTTCCTAATTAAGAAATGTAGAAAAGTGAAGAGTAACTATATATGGAGGCTTCTTGGGATTTTTTTTCTTTTTCTTTTTTGGTGGCAATGCCATTTGGATAGTGATGAAGAACTTGGGTTTGAATTTTGATTCTGTTACCTGCTAAACCCGTGGCTTTGGGCAAATCGTTTTCCCTCTTTGGATCTTAGCTCCTCTATGTGTATACAGTGAGGTGCTGATATTGCCATTAAAGTGTTACCAGAACTACCTGAGATTATTCACATGAAGCACTTCGGGCAGTACCTAGGAAGGACTTCAGTCGCTGTTTGTTATTATTTTTATGTCCTTTCAGCAGCCAGAAGGATTTTCTATGAAGACATCACTAAACTAATCATGCGATGCCAAGTTAGTGGTGCCCAGCAGCGGTGCTAGTGACTCAGGCCAATAAGATCTTAGGGGTGTTTGCAGAAACAAAGACTGTTTTTGTTTGTTTGTTTAAACGACTTTATTTTTGAAATGGCTCTTCTCCACTTCTCGGTCTCAGTATTCGGGATTTCACACCGAAAGATCGGAATCCGACCACGACAGCCAGTGGGGCGGCAGTCCCCTGACCGACACAGCCTCCCCGCAGCTCTTGGACCCGGACCGGCCCGGCTCGCAGCACGACGCGTCCTGCGCCTACAGGCAGTTCTCGGACCGCAGCGCTCTCTGCTACGGCTTCGCGCTCGATCACTCCAGGCTGGTGGAGGAGAGGCATTTCCATACCCAGGCCTGCGAGGGAGGCCGGTGTGAGGCAGGCAGGTACTTCCTGGGAACGCCGCAGGCCGGGAGGGAGCCCTGGTGGGGCTCTCGCGCAGCCCTGCCCCTGACCAAGGCCTCCCCTGAGAGCAGAGAAGCCTATGAGAACAGCATGCCTCACATCGCTTCGGTCCACAGGATCCACGGTAAGAGCAGTGGGAAGGACTTCCCAGCCCAGCATGAGGCTCCAGGGCAGATTTATAGATGTTAGGTGTGACACTGGAGTGACCCACCCAAATGTTTTCTCTTTTGATTGCCATGTCAGAAACTCACATGAGTGAGGTTTAAAACCAAGTTTACTCAGTTAAATGTATTAATTTTGGTAATGTTTGAAGACTATATTTATGACTTGTGGGAAAAAATGATTTCCATTTTAAAAACCATAAAGTATAGAATTCAAGTTAAAGGGAGTTATTGAGCATATTGAATTTGTAGTATGTATACATGTCAATTTCTCAAGTATTATTTTCCTCTGATTCCCTATGTTTCAAAAGTGGACTTCAGTAGTCCATAGGCTCATTCAGTTTGAGCAATGTTTTTCAGTGAGGGCACTATTGATAGCTGGAGAGACCGATCTTTGTTTTATGAACTATCATTCATATAGCTGTTCATCCTCGTTCGACATTAAGTGCCAATAACTGCCCAAACTTCTCCCATCATTATGACAACCACAGTGCCGCTTTTGATTAAGGATGGAGTGCCAGATAGAAACTACTGAGATTTTCATCTTTGGATTATTATATAGCTTTATGAACACACGGAGTTGAGCATTTTAGTTAAAGCTTTGATTGTTGGTAATGCTTTTCTGTGTTAATTGTAAAGTATATTAGTTAAGCATAGCTTACTCTGTCCATTCCAAGTTTGGTTCCAGGAAGATCTTTGAAGAAGTTGGCCAGGAATGGTGGAACATACCTATAATCCCAGATACTCAGGAGGCTGATACAGGAGAATCACAAGTTTGAGTCCAGCCTCATCAATTTAAGAGACCCTAAGCAGCTTAGGGAGACCTGTCTCAAAAAATAAAAAGGGCTGGGGATGTGGCTTCAGTGGTTCAGTGGTAAAGTGCCCCTGGGTTCAGTCCCCAGTACAAACAAAATAAAAAACACCCAACGAAGCCCTATTTAATTAAGTCATTGACATTAGGATTGATCTGAAGGCTCTGATATTACTCTTCTTGTCCTTAGGATGAGAAATGTACTAGACAATGTTGTCCCCATCCATAAAGTCTGTCATATACCTCAAGGCACTGAAGGCCTTCTATGAGTTATTTTGTTTCTATTCTTGCTTTTTAATTTTTCTGCTTTTACTTTGAGTAAACAACTTGTACTGAACCAAGGAACGTTTTGGTAGTCTGGTAATGGAAACCCAGGGCAAAGAGCAATTGCTTGTTAAAGAAAGGAGTGAAATGAAAATCCTGGTTTAACCTACATAGTCTGGAAGGAAATATTAGAAATAAAATAAGGAGAAAAGAGGGAAGGAAAGCAGTGAATAGTGTAATCTAGGGCTTCTTTGCTGTGTTTAGCAGCTTACAGTTCTCAGATGTCCCTACCTGATTTTTTTCTTGCTTTTTATATTGTCTTTAGACATTTTTGAAAATAATTTGGTTTATGGAATTTATTTTGGAAGCACTATTCCTCCATCTTAGATCTCTGTCTTGGATTTAAAATAGGCTTTTATTAAAATTGCTAATATTTACTTATTCTTTACCTTATTCCAGAAGCAATCTAAAATTCTTCACTTTCCTTATGATGACCTCTGAAGCTGAGATGTTAACTCCTATGTTTGTTAAAATAGTACCTTCATGTATGATCTAGACAAGATATAGCTACATCTATATCTACCTATGCATATATATACATATATACATACATATGAATATACATTTTAACCTTCAGTTGTCTAAAAATGATCAGTAGGTCTTTATTGTAACCCTATTGCAGATACATTGAGCAATATTAATTTTAATTTATTAATTAAATTAATTAAATCTTAATTTTCAATTTTCAGTGATTCATTTAGAGAATAGTTCAGCTTATGTTACTATCCTCCTCAAACTCAATTCAAAGCATTTTGTAAGCATCAATCTAACATTGCCATTGCTCTAGAAAACAGCATAAATCAAATTCTATGTATCTTCTTTTTATTATTTGCAATTGGGAAGGTTCAATAACGTGTATAAATGAATATGAACACACTTTACTATTTCACTAATTGTCCTTCACAATCCATGAACAAGGTTTATCTTATAAGAAAATTGTTATAAGCTTCACCTGTGCTTAAAATCCGATGATTTTATATGAATCCAGTATACATATGACTTCCAGGACTATAAGTTGATGCTCTGGCATGCAGGCCTGTGTCTGTTTCAAATATTGTTACATATATTAAAAATGAAAGATACAAGTTTGCTTTTAATAGGAAAAGAAATACTTAATACTTAATTAAAAAAAAATTGGTGAGTCTTGAGACTACTTTTACTATTTTACTTTTTCTGATTTCTAGGGCGAGGTCATTGGGATGAAGATAGTGTGGTCAGTTCTCCAGATCCTGGGTCAGCCAGTGAATCAGGTGATCGATATCGTACTGAACAGTATCAAAGCAGCCCCCACGAACCTAGCAAAATTGAAACTCTGATAAGAGCCACCCAGCAAATGATTAAAGAAGAAGAGAACAGATTGCAGCTACGGAAAGCACCCCCTGACCAATTGGCTTCCATTAATGGAGCTGGGAAAAAACACTCTCTCTGTTTTGCAAACTACCAACAGCCCCCACTGACAGGCGAAGTTTGTCATGGCTCTGCTCTTTCCAATACTTCACCATGTGACCACCTCCAACAGAGAGAGGGAAAGATGCTGAGCCCCCATGAAAATGACTATGACAACAGTCCCACTGCACTGTCTCGGATAAGTAGTCCCAATTCTGATCGCATTTCGAAATCCAGTTTGATCCTAGCTAAAGACTATCTACATTCGGATATGTCTCCTCATCAGACAGCAGGAGACCATCCTGCTGTCTCTCCAAACTGCTTTGGCTCTCACCGCCAGTATTTTGATAAGCATGCGTACACATTAACTGGATATGCCCTGGAGCACTTATATGACAGTGAAACCATTAGAAACTATTCCTTGGGCTGTAATGGCTCACACTTTGATGTAACTTCCCATCTAAGGATGCAGCCCGATCCAGCACAAGGACACAAGGGAACATCTGTTATAATAACCAATGGAAGCTGATGTTTTTCTAAAATATTTTTTTCTTCAAGGGTCTCTGAAGCATATTTATAGTTTAATGCCCCATTACCAGCATTTACTATGCCACAGATTGTTAGAGGATAATTTAAGTTACTGGGTGTTTGACATGTGTTTCTGCAAAATCAAAGAAAACATAGCATTCAGGGTTATACACAGATAATGGAGCTGAAGTCAATACAAAAATTGCCCCTCTAATTATTTGGGAACCAGAATAGATACATTTTGAATAGAAAAATACTCATGTAAATCAAGTAAGCATATAGACCACATCAAAGGGCTGATGAATTGACAATACTGTATTGTGATGATCCAGTGAAACTCATAGCCACAGACCACCATTCACAAACTGTTGTGTCTACTTTACATGTAGAACTAGAGAATATACACCACAAATATACCAAAATGGGTAATTCCCCTAATTCTACCACATCAAGCTTCTGAAAGAAATTTTCAATCCCAAAATAACCAGAAAGAAAGAGATACATCTTGTAAACTGATTTCTTTGTGGTTTCAAACCAGTCAGCTCATTTAGTTCAGGCATAAATTAGAGAAGTGGTTCTGTCTGTAGTGCAAGAATGAGTTTTCACCTGGTATCCATTAGAAGCAATCAGGAAGTGGTGATTTTTCACCTTGCTTTTGAGTTAGACAAGGACCAGGATTGCGCTGACATAGCAGTACAGGTTTTTCTAAGTAACGGCATTGAGATGTAGGGAGGCACATCAAAAACGTGGTGTGCTCAATTGGAAGTAGTTTAGTGAAGATGGAAAGGCCAGAGGCAGAGCAGAATGAAATTATATCTCAAAACAAACAACTTAAGGCTCAGAATAGTTAAACCTCATATTTGGGGCTTGCTTATGAAACCAACCAAATAAAAAATTCAAACCAATTCACCAAGAAAAAAGGCTGATAAGTGCCAAAATAACTGAGGAAAACCAGTGAAGTGCTACATGACAGCGGTCTAAGTGTTTGAAAGCATTTCAAAGCACAGATGTGCCAATGTGTCAGCATGTGGAAAACCTCAGGAGAGAATCTAAGATGAAAGCTTAGGCAGATAGACAAGTGGTTAAAAGGGCCAGAAAAGTACTCTGACTGAAGGCATAGGCACAAATACTCATTTTCCTTATTATTTGTAAACAACAAAAACAGTAAACTTGCCTTCACCTCTGTGTGGGTAGTAGAAAGACCAGTGGACTAGATGCAGAGATCTCTGGGTTTGGGTTCTGAGCCCGCCTGTAACTTAATTTTGTGACCACAATTGCATTCCTCACCATGCCTGAGGCCTTGTGTCCTGGTCTGTAAGGCAGTTTCAGTGTCCCATGATCCTGTGGTTCATTGAGACAGCAGAACGGAAATTATGAAGTAGTTAACTCTCTGCTGTGAGTTTTCAGGACTGATCATTCTGGCTTTTCTGCACACATGCAGAGGCCTAGAAGCTTTGTGACTTAAGCAGGTATGTGGGCTCTCTGGTGCAGGTATAGTTACAGTTGGTTTTTTCTTAGATTCAGTCAAAATGTAGATGGTAGAAATTTATTAAAGGGAAGAAATATAGTAAGATTTTAAAAAATGCACTTATCTCTAGTATTCAAAGCAAAGTGACAGAAGTGATTAGAAAAGTTTCCTAGGTAATATTTCATAGAAGTCTCATGCATTTAACTCTTGCCAAATTCTAGGAGGGGAATATACTGAAAGAACTCATAAGTTCGAAAACAGAACATGACATTGGACACTCAGGGATTAGAACTATATTTTCATCATTTAATACAGTTATTTGGCTGTCCATTGGTTGGTGACAATCTGTATAATAATTTGAGAGACAAATACTGAGTCATTTGTACATGAGAGAAGAGGCTACATGAAATTATATAACTATTTCTTGGATATGACAGCAACATTGGCCAATGTAAATGAAAAAAAAGTGTGAGAAAAGTAGTGATTGTCATATACACTTTAAAAATGTTCAAAGTACAATAAAAGTTAAATTCAGAGCTATATAAGAAAAAACATTCAGTAATTTCGAGAAAGTTATTTTGAGAAGCCCCTGGAATAGTTAAAATGGATTATGATTAATTTGCATGTGAAATAAGGATTTAGGAATGCTAAAGGTTTTGCAGAATTCTGTAGGATACATGTTTCAAAGAAACAAATATCTGGAAAATGTGGCAGGTTTTGGAAAGGAAAATCTATACAGATGGATTCTACTGATGGATAGATATATGGTTTATCAGATGAGTCAAGGACAGATACTGTCGGAGAAATGGCTACTTAAGAACCAAGGAAAATGAACAGATGCTAATGAAAAGATTGTCATCACAGGAATTGCAGTTGAATTTTTATATGGAGGATAATTGATTAGTGGAAGGAATAAATTATGAACTGAACAGATAGGGGGTAATCATGAGGAATCATGTTCCTTAAAATTATATGACCAATTTTTTAAAAGGAAGACAGAATTAACTAAATTACATTTTGATTGAATTTTGGGGTAGATTAGCCCAGTTTTAAATACATAACCATCTATTTAATTTCTTGAAAGATAATTTTATAGTAGCAGTTTTTTTACATTGCATATAACAACTTATAGGCTCATAGTATTATATGACTTTCATTTGTTGCAATATGGCATGATTATTATAAAAATGATCCAAAGTAAGCTGACATTTTCTGACAAGGCAACTTTTTATTATTGACATGCATATGTACAAATGTGTTTGTAATCTACATTATTTTGTTCTATGTAGGAACATATTTCCCTATAAGGAAGATGTCATCTGTGTCACTGAAAAACATGGGGTGTAAAATGAATATGTTCCCCATAATGAATCAGTTAAAATTGAAATTAAATTGGCTTTAGTTTTAATCCTTGATTTCTATAACTTTGCTACAATGCTGAAAACCATGAAATTTGATTGAAATAGAGAAGGATTTTTTAAAATATCATTTTGGGGAATTTATAAACATGTGCTATTCTAATTATATAGCTACAGTATGAAACAATTCATTAGATGATGCAAAGCTTATGCTTTATAGTGACAGCAAGAATATCTTTATTGCCCATTTTACCTGTTTTTGAGCAATTAAAAAATCTCAGTAACCAAAGAGATAAATGAGTATTTCCCCAATCTTTCTTGGGGGAAAATTCTGTTAAAATTATTGTTGAGAATATATGATGTGTTATTTTTGGATGCATAAGATTAAGGTCACAGCCTCTACAGGTCAGACATTAGATATGCTTCAGCTCCGAGAGTCTTTTTGATGTAATGTGTTGAATCTAATGTTCTAGATTTTCTAATTGCCTGATACAAGATGATGTAATAGTGCTGATGTGACATTCAAAATGAGACAGGATGCAATAAATGATTTGCCTTCAGCATTTATACAGAAAAACCACTTACTATTTCCTGATTGTATTTCACAGAGCTAAAATATTTCCACTGGGTACTGTTCTTAATTCTCTCTACACCCTGCTGCCACATGCTGCCTTTGGGCAGAGAATCCCACTTAAAATGAGCTTTAATGGGATATTCTAGAAAAGGATGACAAGCTCCATTTTTCTTGCTTTCTTTCTTTTTATGTAAGGCGAGGATTGATTCTAATGCAAGATTATTTGGAAAATATGCATAGATATTTTAAAATACAATGAAAGACTTCCGCCCCCAAGATCTAGACAAAATAAGTGTGATAGAAGGTCGTATAGCTAAAGAGACACTCTGAATACAGATTTGATATTGTAAGGCTCTCTCCTCTCTCTTTCTTTGAAGAGCATGACATTACTAAGCTATTCAGTGCAATCTATTAGCACTAGTTATAATTGGGAGTGACAGAGTGAATGCTGATATTTGGAAAACTGAATATCTGACCATTTTGGGTCACTAACCTTGTCTAGTGAAATAACTTACACTTTAATACAGTCCTTCTGATGTAAAAAGTTAAAATACCCAGATCTGGCTCCCTAGTTCACTCAAACCATAGATGTAGACATATATTCTATTTTCTTAATGACTTAATAAAGAATGTAAATCCTGCCGTTCTCCAAATAAGTGACTCAACTTTCATGTAAATGTCGAGGTTTTGTGAATAGGGGTTTAAGTTTAAGCAAAATCTATTGGGTAGTTCTTACTGTGAAACATATTGTGGATAAAACATCATTCCAAATTTTAAATGAGGATAAAACAGCTGTGGACACATGCAGAAGTTATCATACATAGAAAATGTTCTTGGGGGAAAAGTTTTGTGTGGTGCTCATTTTTTGTGCACAAAGGTTGTACGGGTAGTGCTTAATCTCAAAAGGTGAGATTGTTCTCATTTCCAAATAGGTGTTTGCTCAGAGTTCTATTTCTAAGACTGTAAGCAGAAAGAACACACACACACACACACACACACACACACACACACACACACATACAGGGTTCTATTGCTTAAAACTGTATGCAGAAATGATACACACCACAGAGAGAAAAGTATTATTTATCATCACCTTGGGTGTTCAAAATGTGCCATATCCAATTATGTGTGTGTATATGTGTGTCTCTCTATATATCCATATATATACATGTATGTTTACATATACATGTATATATATGATGGTTCACACAAGAAATCCTGATTGATAATTTTAAACCAAATGTTTGTAGTTTTATTTATTGCAATTTTGATTTTGCTGCATGAGAGACTTGGCTTTCATAACCCTATATGGGAGGAGTTTATCCCAATTTGCTGATTTGGTAGGCATTTAATCACAGTTAAATTTATACTCAATAGTCCTGATGTGTTTACATTTTGAAAGAAATGAAATTGGCATGGAAAAATTTTAGAAGTACTGTAATTTGTTTTCTGTTTTTTCCCCCTGAAGGAAACTATTTCAAAAAAATGAAATATATGAGTAGGCACTTCAAAAAAGATGAAATATTTTGTTTGTTTTTGACTGACATGCTATAAAAAGGATTATATTTGTGAGAAGATACTGATTGCCACTATTCCAAATACCATCTTGCAATGTATAGTTTTTAGTGATATTGTAGTATAAAGCTGTAATTTGAACTTTTACTTTGGAATGTAAAGTAGAAAATATTAGCTATGTCAATGATATCTTGCAAAGTGTTCCCATTTATAATTATTTATATTGTAAATAGCTTTCTGAAGTAAATTTGAAGTTAATGTGCATAAAATGTATTTATTATGTGAGGATTTTTTTTGTTTTAAAATATAGTTACCAATATGCAGTTTGAGTCTGAATTATTCATTGAAAGAAAAATTCTCTATAGGATAACAGAGTGTCATTTGTAAGCAAGAAGACTGTAAAGAAACTTCAGCTCTAGATTCTGTTGGAATAGGTACTCCACCCCCATAGACACACAGATGTACACATATACACATTGTGCACACATGAGAAACTGAAGAATAGAAGCTCACGTGTATGCCCAGTAAATATTAAGTAATAGGCGTGATTTTAATTAGACACTGGAGGAAGGTTTTTCAGTGTTCCATCAGGACATTTTCAGCGATCTTCTTTCTCCACTTTGCTAAATAAAGTAAAAAATTTGAAGGTACATGTTAATATTTTTAATGCCTATGGGAAATGAAAACCTATAATATTGAGATGATTTAGTTTGCTTTCATTCAAAAGCATATTTAAAATATCTCCAGAATAATTTTTGATCTGAAGTTCAAGATATGTTTAAAATTCAAAATTAGGGATTAAAGTCAGACAAAAATATATTTCTAGGAAGTTCTTTTTTAAACATTTTCATAGTGCCCCTTAGGTATTTCATTGTTTTTTCTTCCAGGAATTTGTGATTTACCGTGGTATGTTCTAGATATTTCCATTGGCTGATCGACACACTTACACAGTATCTTTTAATTCAATATAAATGTTATTTGTATTTCATAAAGCTTTTTTATGAAGCTGAACAAAATACCAGAAATATCATCATTACTATTATAGTATTTATCAGATGTTTTCCAGCATATTTCTTTAAGATACTTGTTTTGGTACTTCTGTTTCTGAAAATAAAATTGTTTTCATCTACTTTATTTTTCAAAATAATTGCACTTCTGATTTAATCCAAATTATTTATTGAATATTGTGCGGTCAGCCTTTCTTTTTTTTATATTTTTATTATTATTTTTTACATAATGGTAGAGAGTATGTTTTGAGATATCATACATATGTAAAATAAATATAACTTGTTCCAATTGGGACCCCATTATTGTGGTTGTACAAGATATGGAGTTACATTGATCATGTACTTATACATGATAGGAAAAATATGTCTAATTCATTCTATTCTCTTTCCTATTGCCATCTTCCCTTCATTTCCCTTTGTCTAGTCTAATGAACTTCTAATCTTTCCCTCTCTTCTTGTGGGTTAACATCCACATATCAGAGAGAACATTCTGCCTTTGGTGTTTTGGGACTGGCTTATTTCACTTACTATGATATTCTCCATTTCCCAGAAAATGCCATAATTGCATTCTTCCTTATGGCTG